TAGACAGACTGGCTGCTGATAGCGGCCGAGAATACGTCTCAACACCATCGTCAACCAGCTTGCGCTTGCCATTAGTCACACTAGCCGCAACAGCAGCCAGACTTGTTGGTGGTCTCAGCCCACCAATCTTGCTGGGCTGCTTGAGCATCGACCCTGGCGGCCGTATTCCTGTGGTCTATAGAGCAAACAATAACACATACATGAATAAAATTGTAATAATTTGTTAGCACTGAATCGTATGTCAATTTCAAACTTGGATTACCAAAGTGTGATGTATCCTTGCCAACGCGACTTACCATTGATATAAAAATAAAATAAAATAATGAGATACTCCACGAAAATCAAAAAAAGATAGACAAGAAAAGCAAAACAAAACAAGGCAAAGTACGCTTGACAAGAAACTTAAGGTAAACACGGACGTTGATCAGGAGATTGTTTGATCGTGTTTGTTTTTTAGTTTTAGCCAGGGAAACCCTCCTAGTAAATTAAGTCCTAAGTATCCTTCCTTTCTCCGTATTTCTTTCGCTCGTAGAATAGACTGGCTCGTGCACTGCCAATGTTTACGATCTTCGGACATCCGTCGCGGTCCTTCTCCAAACGTGTACACTCTCTGCAGTAGTGGGCGTCGGACACGCCCTTGCCGTTGCATACGATGCAGCGCCCCTGGTGACTGCCAAAGTTGCACTCGTCGCAAATGTGTACCGGCTTTTCTGGCTGCACCAGCGAGTCGCAAATGATGCACTTGCCATCACATTTTTCGCACAAACTACCCACTGCTATTCCGGGCAGTTGGCGGCAGAACATGAGGTCCCGGTGATGTCTAGCCATATTCCCAATATCTTTTATGCTTGAATATGATGTATAGTGTATGTATGGTAGGCAGAGAAGTGTAGATTTAATAGCAAGCACAAGTGGTAATCGGTTATTTTTTATCTCGGTTGAATTAATATACTTATTTTTTTTATTCAACCACGGTTATACAATCCCCCGTGACCTAATTAAAGGACTTGTGCGCTCTAGTCGTTGCTATAAAAGCTGCCAGAGTCTTGGCTCGCATCGACAATTTCAATGTCGACCGCTTCGGTGGCAGTATGTGGCATATCGGTGCTCCGTTTGCCAACAATCACCATATCCCTCTTGCTCTCTCGTATGCGCTTTAGGACTTGCCGGTAGTCCTCTTCGGCCTGGTCCAAGGGTATCGTGTCCACTGTGCTATAAGCCGAGTTAAAGGGACCAGGGAAGATCACTTCGTTGCTATTGTCGGCTTGGTCCTTCGATGCCTCTAATGGGTTTTTAGGACGCCGCGATCTACCTAGTTGTGGCAAGAGTGGCCTCATATAGTTGGAGGACGACCATGGCCCGGGAATCATCGTACAAATAAAATTATTTGAAATAAAATATACTTTATTGCTGTGGAGCAGAGCGGGAAAGAAAAATGTGTATATTTGTCGCAAGGTCAGCTGCCTACTATATGGGTGACTCAAGAGGCATCCATGACTTCGCCTATCCGCTGCCGCTTTGAGGCACTCTCTTCGGTTTCGCTCATGTCAGAAATGCTGACAACCGAGTTTCCGCTGTGTAGCAATGGACCAGAAATACTGCTGGTGTGCTGAGAAGCGCGAGCCTGTTCCACTAGCAGCTCATTGACATACCACAAGTGACGGGTCGCCGGTGGACGTTTCTCCTTGACGGCGTGCTCATGAATAAGCCGCTCAATCAACGCCTTGCTGGCACCAACAATCTGTGGCCGAAGTATCTCAACCAGACGCGCAATCCCAAACGACGACCCATGCACGACACCTACCAGAGTGTACAGATCAGCATCGGTTACATCCTTGGGTTTGCGTGCAGGCGTCCCAGCAGAACCCTCACATTTACCGAGGCTAGAACGGACCGCTGGCTGCATGGGCTGGATGTCCTGAGCAGCAACACTAACGCGCAGAGGCAGATCTGGTCCAATTGCGCATACCGTCAACACACTCAGAGAGCTGACGGCCGTCGCACTGCTGTTGTGGTCCCAAATCAACCCAACAACCACGGGCGTAAGCGGTAGCACTTTGGTGCGACGCGATGGCAGGTGGTCCCGCTTTTTCTCATCATGAGTGTGAGGCTTAGGTCTGGTGCTCGTGACAAGCGTGCTGAGGTGAGCTGGATCCGTCGGTAATGCGCTGTCAACGACACCAGCCTTTCTACGACGGCTACTGACGGGCTCTGCGGCGTCATCAACGTCCATATCATTGTCGCAGACTTCCTCGCTCGCATCGATTTCTTCCATTACTTCGTCCTCAGAGTTAAAGTTGGACTCTTCGTCGGTATCTGACTCAGCACCGGATTCTCCACATTCAGACAACGACTGCTCACCGAGCTCGGTATGAGGCATGCGATCGCCGACGACAAAGCCGTGTTGCTCGTCAAAGTCATCATCATCTGCATCGTCGTCGCTATCTTCGTCTTCATCGTCATCCTCGCTCTGAAGGTCTTCGCCCTCTTCTTCAGCCTCCCACTCAGCGTCGCTGTCGACATCATAGTCCAGGGATGCAGTGTCTCGGCCAAACGGTCGCCGAGCACTGACACCGTGCAATTTGCGGCTCCAGGTTCCCCAGTAGTCTGGGCGCTGGCTGCCATGAAAATGGAACAACTTCATAGGCATTTTCCGAAGTTGCAGCAGGTAGAGCTCGCCAGCATCCAACTCGGAGCTGCTGCTGTCGCAAACAACGCTGCAGTCGGGTGTTATGTCACTCCTCGAAGACAATGACTGCCTTGAAGCGGAAATAAACTGCTGCAAGTAGCGCTCCGACACGTCCTTGTTAGAGGATATGTCCTCGGCCTTTTGGCGTAGACTAGCATAGCTTAGCACGCGATCCACGCTCCTGGGATCGAACGACTCTGGTGGCTCGTATCGATACATGGTCGTGTTTTTACGGAGGTGGAATGGCAGAAATGTTGCCCGGTAGAAACTTTTGTGCTCGGCACTGCAAGTAGGCGCGACTAGAGCCTTATCGCCTCTGTCATGTCCCTTTTCAGATGCAAAAAATGTTTGCAAGCTTTTCTGGCCACGCGGCACTTGGCTGGTCTTTTTCGTCAAAGCACCGTCGCTGACACTAGTTTCGTTTGCAGCAGACTGTTCTGCGCGCTTGAGCTTTGCGGGTGTTGGCAGTAGCTTGGTCTTAAGTTTCTTCACCGTGCCGGCTAGAATTTGGCCTTGCGTTTCGCTATCCAATGCCTGGAACCACCGTGCGCACTCTGTGTGGGCATCCTGCCTTTGCTGCCTTCGCTTTAGCACCACTTCGCGGACATCCTCTGGCAACAGCAACAAATCTCGCACTTCCCAGCGCTGTATCGCCAGACTCTACAAAAAAAAGCAAGTCAACCAACGATTAGTTCAATAGCACTCAGCGCCACTCGATTCCTAGTGGCTGTTCCCACAGCGTGGTGAGTACTTACGTGCGGGACATCGTCTAGGTCGATACCACAGCGCTCCCTCAGGCTGGCGAGGGAGACTCCGTAATTTTGCGAATCGGCAATATCCAATATTGCATCCTCCACGGCGCCGGGTGCCAGTATGTCAGAATTGCCCGACCGCTTCTCGCCAAAAACTACGGGGCACAACTGGGTTTCTATGGATTTGACCAGGGTCGCCACCGACGCATCCCGATCTTGGATGAGCATAGCTACCAAGCACCTGTGCTCAGGGGGAATCTTGGCTAGAGGAAGCCCATCCTGACTACTTTGTTTGAGTTGCGCGATAAGCTGGTGGAACTGGAATATCGCAGCGACGACTGCCGGGTGCCTGTCAAGACCGAGCTTCTTTTCTGAAAAGGATACTTTGCCGTTCTTAAACACAACGGGTAGGGCTCCTGGAGGTAAGGGCTTTGTGGTGCTAGGTTCACCGCTGGCCACAATACTGCTGTTATTGGTCGGAACAAGATGAGTCTCTTTCGCGGGCCCCAGTGATCTGGTGTCGTCGTTATCGTCGTCGTCGTCAACAATGTTAATTCTAGCAATGGTGGACTCTACAGTAAGGAAGCACACAGTTAGAAGGTGAAACTAATACGCAATCAGGTTGGCGTTGACGCACTGCGCAGCACAGGTCCTCGGCTCTTGGAAGCGAATTGCCTCAACTCTTTACCTTGCGCGTCGTTTCCGGTGTCATTCTCTCTGCATTGCGGCTCATCGTCTACATTTTCCAAAAGTCACAGCAATGCCTATCAGTTAGCGTCGCGCATTAGGTCGATGAATTGCAAAGGTGGGCGTGTATGTGACACCAACCTTCTTTTGAGCCCTGGCGCCCAAAAAATTTCATAAGCGACGCTGGTCGCTTCTTCTTTGTCGCCAAGGGAACGGAAGGTGCGGTCATTTGTGTTTGTCGGATGCAGCGCAAAATAATGCTATCAGTACGTAAATAAAAAATAAGAAAGCGCTTGTGTGAAAATATATCCTCATGCAAAACGCGATTGCACTCGCTCTACGCGTGTTTGGCGTTTATGGAGATCAGATCAGCAATACTCCAGATCACCTTCTCGTTTTACAACATTGCCAAGCATGGTTTGGCAGTCTGGGAGATTTTCCACGCTCGACCATAGCCGTCACTGGATAGCAAAAAGGAATCGATGGCTTGGCTATGTATATTCGCTGGAAATCGAAGGTCATACCATTGTCGAAAAACGCTGGTTAGTGGTGTCTAGTCGGTGGTACCACTTTGATCCGGGTGACGACGAACTCGATGGGAAGATCTCACTTAGAAACAAATCGCAACAAGTGGCCAGCCGCGTACATCACATTATCCAGCACCACTGGCAGTCAGCTCCAGATGACGACACCAACGCCCTGGCTGCACCCATCAATCCGCCCACTGTGACCTATGACTGATTTGCTCTAATATTTTAAAGTACCTGAGCTATCATAATGAAATTGCGCTTAAAGGTTGCGTCAAAAATATAATATCTTTGGCTCTGGTGGAAACCAATCGACAATAAATAAAAAAGGAATCAAAAGGTAATTGCGCCCGCCGGGAATCGAACCCGGGCCAACAGCTTTCAACGTGGAAGGCTGCTATTCTGCCACTAAACAACAAGCGCTAGACTACGAGTACTTGGACTAGTTCGCCAAGATCTGAGATGACTCAGTTAATGAATTATGTATACTACTTGCTACACAATGCATCTATGAGGAAAACTATCTTCAAATTAACATTATTTCAAATGTCTATAGGGTTATGTTTGTAGTTTGGGATGGGCTCATGGATATATTATTTTGTCAGTGAACATGTAAAATTTTGTAAAAAAGCTTGTCCCAACTTTACGACACCCTGACAGATTCTCCAAGGCAAAATCTATAGATAGGACAGATATTAAAGTAAAGTGAAGAGGTAATATATCTTGGAGTTGACAGTGCTAACTGGATTAGTTAACAATTCGTTGAACCAATACATAGTGGCAAAGTAAGGTTAAAACGAAAAATTGTACAAGGATCTAACCAGCAACATATTTAATATAATTAGAAACCTTGCTGACTATAGGAATTCAATGCTAAATGCCATGTCTGATCAGTACATGCTGTTCTAGTCAGCAAGATATTAATTAATAATACTCATTGATAGTTACAGTGCCAGTGTCCCTAGGCTTCTACTCTCCAGAGTTCGGCATCACCAATTATAGACTTTACGTGGTGTGTCCTATCACCTCACATAAGCACTTGTGAATATCTGATAAGTACAATTTAATGCCCATAGTGCATTGTTATTGTTGGCCGCAACATCCGAAGTCCAGTTGATCTCCACACATGCGCAGCATGTGAAAGCAGCCCCAACAAGAAGACTTAACCACTAACAGCTACAGGAACTTCTGGGCGAGCTATAAAAGCAGGACAACAAGAGGGGACAAGGAGGAGGTTTTTCTTGGTCTAGACTTGAGTATATTTTCTGGGAATAACACCTTTTAAGCACCTCTTGTAGTAGAGGTATGCATACAGTGGCAGAATGAGTACAAGGGACACCGTCTCTCGAGTAACGACATATATGTCAGGAAGGAGGTATCAGAAGTGCAGCCAAAGAAGAAGCAAGCTATGCAGTGGCCGAGACCCTCTTAGTAGTCATTGCAACATGTCAGATAAAGGTAATAGTCAATCAATTGGTTCATAAACAATGTGAAGAGAAGAGAAGCTAGAAAATGAAGTCAGATAAAATGTTGCATTCTGTTGTCTTGTTCAGAGCTCTGCCAAGAGCCCATGTAAACATTGGTTGGTTCTCCTGCTAGTTAGCGCAGTAGAATATGTTGGCGTCTGTTCAGAAGTTGCAGCCAATGTAATACGTTGTGAGACACTGAGATGCCAAAATATCCAATGGGGACAAAGGCATAGAAAAGGATCGAGTAGGAGAAGTTGTATAATGTACTCATAGGCGGCTGGAGTCGAGGTTTGAGGATCCATGAAGCCTACAGGGTGCTGTGGTCAGCCTACACAAAATATTCTAAAGTTTCAGAAGGTCAGTTGCCTCTTGTATGCGGTTGTGACTATATTCGGGGCAATTTGGAGTATCTCTGTCCATGTCGACCTGAAAGAATGGCACAAGTAATGTTTGAGCTTTGGTTATTTTCTCCTATTCTCTTAAATATATATCTAAGGAGATAATAGGCGAACAGGAGCTTGCAAAGTGTTTTACTCCGGAGACAGCTTATCAGAAAAGCAGAGAATAAGAATCGACAGTGCTGCTATTGTTAAAAAGTAAGCTTTGTTGACGGAATGAAACAAGAGAGAAGAGAAAGGAAAGAAAGATGTTTTAAATAATATAAAAGGGATTGGCCAGAGAAATCAGGCACAGAAAGGAATGGACCCCTTTTGAATAAGAGAGGAGCGAACAGTAGAGATACCACAGATTAGAGAAATAGTGCAAAGGAGTGAAAATTCCAACATATTGAGATAGGTCATATAGACCTCCAGATGAGAAATATCAAATGGCTTGTGAATTTATACTAATACTATAACCGTTTGCAGGGATACCAGAATAAGAGGTATATTCTTTGGCAGGTAAAAAAGTTGAGGAGAAAAGTAAAGCTATGCAAGGTTGAGTAAAATAATGTGCTGTGATGTTTTGCTCTGAGTTTCATCAAAAGCTCCAGCAACTGCCTATCGGTGGTGCCTTTCCTGGTTAATGCAGTGGCAGATATTGGCATTCACTTAGAAATAGTGTCCAACACTAATATTTTTGACCTTTGATATTTTTGACCAGCAAAATTGGACCAATGTTTTTCAGTGTCGACTTACATCTTGAGTATCTTCTTCCACACCCCTCCTATCACTTTGCGACTAGTATTATTAGACAGCCACAGGGCAGTGATCCAAATCTAAAATTGTGGAGTACGCTGTTTACTCCATGATATTTTATACGTATTTATAAAAGATATCTTGAAAAAACAGTTTATAAATTTTTCTACAAAAAATGATCAATAGTTTGTTGATCCTCCCTTGGCCTTCCAAACAGCACGAACTCGTTTGGGCATACTAACTATAAACTGTTGACATGCATCTAGCCCAAACGTGCGCCAAACTTCCTGCACCCGCTGCCACAGCTCATTAATGTTCTTGGGCTGATCCTTGTACTCTTGAAGCCGACGTTTCAGCCAAGCCCAGAGGTGCTCAATTGGATTTGGGCCTGGGGACTGTGAGGGTCACTCAAGCATATATACGTCATGGTTCTCTATCTACTGCTAGGCCAGATTGGATGTGTGCTTTGGATCATTGTCTTGTTAAAAAATAAAGTCGGAATCCTTGAAGCGCGGACAGGGAATCATAGGAATGAGGTAGTCTTCCTGTATGCCAACATACGTCTCCTTGACCATCCTATCTTTAACCCAAACCATGCTGCCAGCCCCCCTCCAGGTCATGCATCCCCAGATCATGCTTGACCCGCCACCTTGTTTCGCCATACTTGCGATTAGCCGTGGCTCCTAGCTGCCACCCTTTCGCGGCCAGCACCACTGTAGTCAATTTGAGTTGTAGCGGTTAATCCTTGTCTCGTCAGACCAAGCAACACGTGCCCAGTCCTCCACTTTCCAGTCGATGTGTGCTTTAGCAAAATTCAGGCGAGCCCTCATATTTTTTCTTGAGAATAGTGGCCGTTTATTATTTTTAGCTGCTTTTAGTCTTTGGCTCCTGAGAGCCCGGCGCACGGTGTCTATAGATACTGTCTTGCCAACTTCATCACGCAGGTCTTTGGTTGCCTGTGTAGCCGTGTCTAGTTTTCCTGACGTAAGCAGGCGAGTGAGATAGGCCTTGTTACGCTGCGAAAGAAGCCTAGGACGACCAGCCCTCAAGTGGAAAATATTTGGGCGCATAGCGTTGCTAAGTCTAACAACTGCTGACTTGCTATCACCAACTATCTTGGCAACTCTGCGACTACTCAATCCATGGTCGAGAAGTGACAGAATACACTCTTGGACGCGTTTGGAGAGTCGTTCCATTGTGGAAAAAAGAATGTCAGTATTTAGCGTCAATAGTAAGAAAAATAAATATTGTCAAAAGAAGTGAATCAAAAGTAAGACCGCCAAGAAAATAATCCTAAAGTATTTTTCATACTCTTTGTTAAAAGTTGAAGTTACACAAAAAATGTACATAAATATTAGCATCATAGCCAGTAATAACCTGGATAAATAGATGAAATTTATTTGTAGTAGCACCGATCTGTGGCTATCTAAAAATAATAGTCACAAAGTGATAGGGTGTGGGGGAAGATACTCAAGGTGGAAGTTGTCATTGAAAAATATTGGTCCAATTTAGCAGGTCACTGCATATGAATAAGAGAATAGAGAAAAATCCATAGACAGGAGGCAGCCTGGACCTAGAGGAGAGATTTATACTTGAGACAGCATGTTAGAAAAAGAGTGAAAGGATTGACAATGCTACTACAAGGTCAGAATATGTGAGAATATCAATACAATATTCCCTCAACTACACCTTGTTTGGATCGGGATACCAGCACACTGTCCGCTACTCTGGGAACTATTGGTCTGCCCAGCACTAGGCGGTTCTTTGCCTTGCCCGGTCCACCCTCGGGGTTAATATCTCCCTCCACGTCGCCCACGCGCCCGACGCGAGTTTTGCACTCACGGTCCGGCGAGCAATTGACCATACTCACTGGTGGCCCAATCACACAGATTTACAACTGCCGAGTGCTGAGGAGCCACAAGCT